GAGATGAGGGGTGAGCTCTCCAAAGACACCATCTTCCACCAGGCGGGCCGTGCCCTGAGCGATAAAATGCAAATGGGAAATGAGTGGTTCGACCATGATTTGGAAGATCTCCGTGTGGACGATTTTGGCAACGTCATGCATATTCGTGCCCCTTACTGGAGTGACATCTCCACGGAATGCACACACAGCTTCCCACATTGACTAATAGCCCACTCTCATGGGGGCCTGCTGCCAGGAAATGTTGTGGTTGCAGCGCATATCTCCAATCACGCAGTGTGTAGCATGTCTACAGGTAAGACAAACAGTCCACAATCAGTCTCTCCATCTCTGATGGTTTTCTTATACAGGGCCCCTGTAAAAAGAGAAGCCCTCTTGCTTGTTCGTCTGTCTCTTTTCTGTTTTTTGTTTTCCCTTGCTTTTTTTCTTTTACGTTTCTGCTTTTTTTCCCCGGGGTTTTTTCGATTTTTACTTTTTTCTTTGTTTTGTTGCGTCTTGCATTGTTTTTAATTTCTCATTCTTTTTCTTGCTTCAATCTTGCAGGAGACAAAGCTGCCTTCACTTCACAAACGATGCTCGAGGGGCTGGGGTTGACCACATGCGAACTGATGTTGGCTCGCACCAGTGCGATAAAACACGTTGGCAGACACGACAAACCGGCCCACCTGGTCGATCTGATGATGCAATTTGGCCTAGACTTCTTGACCCTAACACCCCTGACAACTGAGCAGGCAAAAGGCCTGAGGAGGACCTCCACAGATCACTGGCAGCAACTCCTGCTCCAGTCTCCACCAAAGTCAGACGAAGACGAGGCAGGAAGCAGTTCTGACGTAGAGTCTCAATTGTCGGTGGACTGGGACATTGCTGGAGAGTTGCAAACCTTGCCACCGGGCGGACTGGGCGGACTGGGCACTGAGGGACACGACACCGGCATCAGGCAGCACGTGGAGAGTCTGGTTCAGTGTTTCATGTCTACAACCGTTGTGATCGAGGAGCTCGGTGTCGGGGCTGGGCCAGGAACAGAGCCACACCGGCAAAGCCGGCAAGGCCCGGAGAGCGGCAGCTCTGGCTATCGACAGAGTAGGAGATGGACAACTCCACGGTGGGCCGTGCTCCCCCAGGAGACAAGTACCTTGCATGTCAGTGGCCAAGAGCCACGAGAGGCCACCTCTCCGCCGCCCCCTGCAGGAGATCCTCGACAAGCCCTTCTAGCCCTGCCAGGAATCCGTGCTTCGCGCATTCCCAGTGAGGAATCCCTGGACAGGCTTGAACAGTTCTAGAGAGCCAACCAGCCCTGTGACCCCACACCGGTAAGCTGTAATGAGAATAAAAGAAACGAGTCACTCAAGGAATTATGATACGATATACAGCACCAAATTCGTGATGGGGAACTGTACGTCAGAGAGTAAGGAGAATTTATGGGCGAGATCTTGGGTCTAGAGGGGGTTTGTGGCTAGACCGAGTCACTGGGAGACTAGATGGACCCATGTTTTCATTTCATTTCTCTCTTTCTTCAGCGGTAGGTTGCATGAGCCACCAAGGAGGAGAGGCAGAGTACGGCACAGGAGAGCTACCAAGAGGTACACGTTCAAACAGTCGCAGCCAAAGTGTGCTCGTTATGGACCACTTCAAAACGAAACTGCACATGCCTGGGAGAACCAGCAGTGCACCCCTCGCAAGGTGAAGACAATGAAAACTGCCTGTACTGTCTATGCGACGAAGGAAGGCGGGGAGGTCGAGGGAGTCGTAGAGCAGTGCTTGAACCAGGACTGCATCGTGTGCCAGTTGATGAACAAATTGGACCCACTCACACTCGTGGGACTTGGCCTGAACTGTAACCCACACTTGGCTGCCATGCTGGAACTTGCCCCCTCCATGCCACGTCTGCTGAACTCTGGCGAAACCCCCGAGGAGAGAAGGCCATCCCTTGTCCATGCATTGCGCGAGCTTCTTGGCTGTTCCGTGACCAAGCTTCGAAGTGTGGCCAACGCGGGTTTCCTCTGCATGCTGTGTCCGCGGCTGAAGCACTTGCAACTCGAGAGAGGCTGGGGAGATGTCTGGAGTCACCTGTCCAAGCTGGGCACGGCCATCGGTCACCACGAGGACCGCCAGAGCCAGCTGGCCGCCCTGGTCTTTCTCCTTCGAAGATGTGTTCGTGGCGAGGACCAGAGATGGTTGTGGTATTTGCAGCCGGACGACCCCGAGGAGCAACAGAGAATTCTCGCCCAGGTCTTCGCTGGCTGCTTTTCTGAGCAGACTGCCACCTGAGAGCCGACCTCAGCAGACCG